GTTTAAAGATGTAAGTTGCATAAGCAAATTCACCTTAGATATTCTAATGGAAGACTTTATCGTAGAACATCCTTGAATTTTTTTAAAATTAACATTTACAAGCCACTATGTTAAAAATGACTTAGCAAATATTAAATGAAAAATAAATTAAAAATTTAAATTACTTTTCTTTATCCTTGGTCACTTTCATAATGGAATGATAAAAATACTAATGTAATAAGTACTGTGGATAAAATCTGTGAATATTTAGTATTTATAAATAATAAATAATATATATTTTAATATTTATTTATAAACAAATTTGATGTGAGTATTATATTATTTGTTTTGTATCCGTTAATGAAAAAAATTAAAATTAAATTAAAATATTATTATATTATATTTAATTATAATTATAATTAAAATTAATGTATTTTTAATTTAAATTATTTAAATTTTATATTTTTTTGGCAACTTTTTAAGTTGTATTTAAAAAATCTATAACAAAATTTAAATATTTATGAATACTCATGAATATGAATATTCTTATGTTTTTTAAAATTTTATAAATAATTTTAATTCGGTATGAACTATTAACCGAATAAATAACAAGTTGGATTTTATTTTCAAATCAAATAGTCATACTCGAAAAATAAAATAAAATATACTATAACATTAATCAGGATGAAATGTTTTTAAGAAAAAAAAATTGAGTTTAACTCTCTATAAAATAAAGTTAGCGTGTATATAAGTTAAAAATAAAAATCATATAAATGTAAAAAAATTTACAAATTAATTCTTACATAAAGATGTAAAAGAGAGAAAAAGATGGGACATTGCAAGAAAAACAAAGAAAAAAAACAAAATAGTACTAATTTCATAGTTACGTTAGCATGAAGTTAACTCGACGATTTAACAAAAGGGACACGATTGATACAATCTATACCACTTTGAGACAAATTGGAGAATTTTTAAAAACAGGTCCTAAGCAGAAAAAAACCTATGAATGTAAAGATCAAGTAAGCAATTAAGCCAATTTAAAAATACATTTTGTATAATCTAAAATGTGTTTATGAATATATTTATATATTACATAATCTAAAAGATATTTTTGAATTAAGCATTCTACAAATTTTGAAAGAACATTTTAAACCTTTTAAATACCTATTTGAGATGGAAGAAGAAATCATGAAGGTGCAGAAAGTAAATGCCTTAGATCTTGTAACACTAAAGGCTGATATTGGAAGATTGCCTTTTGCACCCCTGTATGTAAATTGATTAAGTTAATATATATAAAAAAATACTTGATGTTAATCCTAGAAATTTCAAATATGATAAAAAACACAAAAATGAAATTGTGACCATTTTAAACAAAATATTTCAAAATAATAATTACTTAAAAAAAATATCAGTTGACAATTATATTTTTTAGAAGATCAGTTATCAATTATATTATAAAAGATAACGCCTTCCATACACATAGTTCTAAGAAAATTTCAACCTTAGCTTTTGATTTACAATTTTAATACAGAATAAAGTATTCTTTAGATATGTTTGAAGTTAAGCATTCTTTAGAAATCCAACGACAACAAACGAAGGTAAAGAATAAGAAACAGAACATGCACAGGAAGAAACATTGCAGATGAATTCTGCTCTTATATAATATGCATAGCAATTGCAAGGAAAAAGATAAAAGATTAACGGAAATGCTATTCAAGAGAAAATAATATAAGCATAATAAATGATTCGGTTATGATGGTGAGTCACTAAATACTTTCACAATTTGTCTTTTCTCGTCGTCCGGTCTTACTCCTTAGGTCTCTGGTTTGCTAGTCCAGCCGGAGTGTACATGTTAAAGATACTCTGATGCCAAAGTGAGTAAATGAACTGTCCGGTTATCTAATACGATAATGACAGTGATAAATGCACAGTAATTACTACTACCTGTTATTTTTGACTTTCATTTATAGTTTTCGAGCATAAATCTAGGATTAGCGGATGTTTCAATCTTGGCCCAATCCTGGTCCAAGACTTGTAAACGTTATTTACCTTAATCGCCTAAATCGTTAATTATTTATGCTTTTGAGACCGGCCATCCCGATCAGTCCATTCATTTTTTACTGACTGTCCGATCATGTCTTCATTGTGGACAATAAAGACCGTTCATATGGTACAATAAATAAAAAGAAATGTTAAAATGGTGGTTGTATAATATAAGATTGTAAACCATACATATCTTTTCATTAAAATTACTGAAAATTATAAAAATATTAAACAAAATTGGGACGACCAGACACTTCTTTTTAACACATTTTAACCGGTAGTAGAGAATATATTAGAAAAAAAAGTTCTATTAATGTTACAAAAGTATTTATTAATGTTTTATTGTGATATATAGATGTTTATATAACAATTGCAGATTTGTACGTAGTGTAAATTATTTTCTGATATTTGACCATGAGCAATAAATACATGTTGTAAAATATTTGTCCAATAAAAATTAGCTTTAAAAAGCTTTTTCTTTAAATATTGAACATAATTTCTTTGATTAAACTGGAATCTATGACAAATAATCTATGCAGTCACAACTGATAAAACAGAATAAAAGAACATCAGAAGTTCAGAACACCGATAAAGGAAAGAATAATGCATGTTGTAGTAAGGTATTTGGTGTCGTAGCATGTTCTGATGCTGTTGTACATTGTTCAACAAGCTCTCCTTTTTCTTTTCTTTTTTTCTTACATATTCCATTTCCACCATTATCTTCACACCATATTCCTCATTTTTCACCAATCACAGAGAACAGAATAAAGCTATCAACACAAAAAGCTTCTCACTAACAAATATCTTCCACGTAATGAATAAATAATGACATTTTCTATAGTTTCTTCAGATTGCTTTCTATATTTTTTACCCTGTCAGAAAGTATGTTGTGCTTCAATTAATTAAAAATCTTAAATAATTTTTGTAACAGTTTTTATAAAAATAAACAAATTTATCATTGATTCATCTTAGTCACACGTTGTCATTGCATATATAGTATTTTGTTATGATTTGTTCTTGAAAAACATGTTATTAAGATATTATCCGTAAAATTCTAATAAATTTGGTTTTGATATTACTTTTAAAAGTTTTTTTATAAACGAACATATTTATATCTTATTTTATCACATGTGAAAACAAATGAATCAACCTAACTTTTTTTTATATATTATATTTTTTTATTTTTATTGAATATTTTTTCATTTCTATCGAACATAGTCTTAGATTTACGAATCAAATTCTATCATTATCTAACGTTAAAACAAAATCCTTTTGTCCCCATTAACACCCAGAGAAAGAACAGAGAAAACAGAGGAAAAACAGAGATGGGTTGCCAAGCCTCGAAGGAGAAGCCACCGTATGAAAACTCCATGCACCATGCAGGTTTTCAAGAGTTGCAGAAACCGAAAACTCCCACACAAGAACTTGTGCTGCAAGTTCCAGGATGCAAAGTTCATCTGGTGGACGATGGAGAAGCCCTTGAACTGGCCGAAGGGCACTTCACAATCATGAGGGTGATGGAGCAGAACGTGGCACTGGCAACAGTCATAAAAGTTGGAAACAGTGTTCAGTGGCCATTGACAAAGGACGAGCCAGTGGTGAAGGTGGACGGTCTTCACTACCTCTTCTCTCTGCCGGTGAAAGACGGTGGCGAGCCTCTGAGCTATGGTGTGACCTTTCCAAAAGAGTGTTATGGGAACATGGGCATGGTGGATTCTTTTCTGAAGGAGCATTGCTGCTTTTCTGGGTTGGAAAAGAGCAAAAAGAGTGATCTTGATTGGGAGGATTTTGCTCCGAGGGTTGAAGATTATAACCACTTTCTTGCCAGAGCCATTGCAGGAGGAACTGGTCAGATCGTTAAGGGTATCTTCATGTGCAGCAATGCTTACACCAACCAGGTTTGCTTTATCAGTTGAATAACACTGGTTTTTCTTTTTCTGTTTTTGCTTCCTTTCAACTTATCATAACAGTTCTTTCATTATGGTTAAGACTGATTTTGATTTGAAATGATCCATGTTCAAATGGGTTTAGTTTAAAAGTAGGTCAATAGCATATAATTCTGTATAAATTTTTCATTCAATGTAAAAACAGGTGTGGGTTTGAATAAGTATTTTCAAAATTGACTTTGATTTTCAAATGATATGGTACAAAATATTTTATATATATCATATCTTATTTTATAATCCAACATAATAAAATTTGAGGTATGCTTTGTTCTTTTCAGATTTTTTCCATCATTTGAAAGAACCAAATAAATCATTACGCTTTTCATAAAAAAACTTGCTATGAAAATCAGGTCCAAAAAGGAGGGGAAGCGATCCTAAGTAGTGCTGCAGAAAAGAACAGTGCTAACAAGGTGAGACAAAGTATGAACAACAAGAATGATGCCACAAAGAACAGTGGAATGAACGAAAACCTCAAACGGTATTGAAACATGTGATGCGATTGAGTTATTTATGTCACGAGTTCATGTTTAAGGATTAGAGTATTGACTAGGAATTTTTCTTTTTCGTACATAGTCTTAGCTTTTAAAAGGGTATGTATAATTACGAACTAAGTTGGATTATTTTTCGTGTTTGCAATATAGTGTGAGAAAGCTGACAAATATGACAGAAAAGTTAACCAAGTCTTTGCTTGATGGTGTTGGAATAATGAGTGGATCAGTGATGACTCCTGTGCTTAAATCACAACCAGGACAGGCCTTCCTAAACATGCTCCCTGGAGAGGTGCTATTGGCTTCCCTTGATGCAGTCAGTAAGTAACACTTCTCAAGCATACCAAAGTTTAAGATCCTAACAAATTTTTTTACATTGTTTATGGTTAGGAACCGAAAAAAATGGAAAAATTGAATAACATATAAGTCGGAGGAGTGAACTAACCTAACTCGGCTCATTTATTAATTAGTTGAAAAAATTCAAATTTATCTTGGTCTATCTGGGTAGGTTAAACGAGTTCATTGTTTTACTTAATTACAAGTTTTGTTTTTCAATTAAAAAAAATTATTTTTTTAATTCAAATATAAATAAATTTTACTTCAAAATGATCTTAAGTTCCGAATGTAATTCAAAATCTAAAAAAGTACAATCTAATTCAAAATCATCATAAACTCTAAATACAATCCAAAAATAAATATAAAAAGCAAAACAAAGGGTTGGTGAATCAACGTTCACTACAGGTTCAACCCGGATGAATCAGTGGACTGGACACAAAATTGACTCATTGAAATTTTAAATTTTTTTTCAATTTAACTTGGTCAAAACCCGTGATGGACTGGGTTGGCTCACGAGTTCTAACCTATTTTAAGAGCACTAGGCAGAAGACTATCGTAATCCATTGTCTTAAAAGTGAGGTTGATCCTTTATGTGAGTGCACTCATATTTTGTTAGTGTTGTATCTTGATGATAGGTGATTTTTTCTTAAAAGACCCCTTCAGCTATAAAATTTTAAGAAAAAGTTTTACATTTTCAACTACTCAAAAAACATATAAGTATGACTACTATGGTCCAACACAATTTTCAATTTTCTTATGTCATGCCGGAATATAAATATAAAATTACATTGTTGGTACCATTCTTATTTTTGTTATCTTGGATATCTTAATAAGCACCGTAAGCTAATCTCGTTCTTTTAAACAAGCACCACCAACTTGATTAATTTCTATGTTCAATGCCACAGATAGAGTTTTTGAAGCAGCTGAAGCTGCTGAAAAACAGACCTTTTCTGCCACCTCCAAAGCTGCAACCAGAATGGTCTCTAACAGGTAATATTATTATCATTATAGTACTCATGAAATTTATAGTTAAACCACGCATTGGTGCAGATAATCTTCATAAATCTCAACCAACAGAAAAGTGTGCATGGAAAATAGTGTTAAAAACTATCTGCATCATTGAATATGCTTTGCTTCCAAGGTGCAGATGTTCTAAAGAACAGTCGTAAGAGAAACTGCACTTTTAAGCTAGTTTTGAACATCTAAAAATGTGGGAAAAACAAAAAAACCTTATGTTTATAACCTAAGTTATGGATACATAAATGTAACCTTAGCTAAAATGGATGTTTTTTGCAACAGGTTAGGGGAAGAAGCAGGAGAGGCTACTGAGCATGTGTTTGCAAGTGCAGGACATGCTGTTAACACTGCTTGGAATGTGTCTAAGATTCGGAAAGCCATCAATCCAGCATCTTCTGCAAATGCTGCTAGAGCACTCACAAATTCTTCCAAGAAATGAAATGCTTTTGTTATAAAATCTAACCACGTTGCTTTCTATCTCATGATGAATGTTTTCCTTCCTTCAGCAAGTGTACTGAATCCGTTATCATACATAAACAAGTGCCTTATTCACATAAACTCGTGCAAAATTTCAAATAATTCTAGTCTGTCACTCACTGCTTCCCAAACACGGTGTTCAACAAGGTTTGTTGAATTTGTTCAAAAAGTTCAGCAGAATTAAAATAGGATTAAAACAACCATATACATATATACATATATACATATATACATATATATACATATATACATATATATATAAATAAACATATTAAAATTGAGCTTCACCTATTCATTCCGTTAACCATAACCAAATGATCAACTATAGATCAAAAGATCAAGCATCAACTCGGCTAATAGTGAGTTTGGATGATCAACCACAGCGAATAGGCCAATGAGTCTGGATGGTCAACCACTAGTTCAGAAAACAAGCCATTGAGCTTGAACGTTCACCAAACAGACCAGATAGTCATGCATCAGATTGAATTGTCAATCACCAACCTACAGAATAAGCCATTGATCCCAAAGGATCACCTAACAAACCATCCAGCCCTGTATCAGACCGATCAGACTGAATAGGTCTTACTCATGTTTCAACCATAATTAGACCAATTTTAATCAAAACCTCCAACCTATAAATAAAGATTTAAAGTAAGAAGGTAGGTTATACTCATTAATTACAACATTTACTTTTATGTGTTTAAATTGAACTGACTTTGACATTCGAATATCTTATTATGTTGGTACTATTGATTGCCTTTGAATGCACAAAAAATTTCTTAACAAACAAATTATGTTAATCGAATAATTAACCTTGACTCTAACCCGAAACACCTATCTTATTCAACTGTCTCTAAAGATTTAATATATATTTATCGAGTGTAGTTCTTGAATCATTCTAAATCAATTCCATATAAAGCAGTTCTGATAAATGACACAAGTATTGTTGTATGAATTGATCATATCCCAATATCCCTGAGCAAGCCATGGAAGAACTAAACTATGTTACATGAAAAAGCTCCCAATGTAAGCAAGAGAACATTATAGTGAAATCATTCTAAAGTGTATGGTAGGTAGTATATTAGTAACTTGATGTCTGTTATTAATTTAATATGATGATAACGGAGGGTTTTATGACAATGAAAGGACCTGTTTTTTTCTTTAGTAGGTCAATGATTATCACTATGAAGAAATAATGCATGGCCAGCTTGGTGAAGATGATTGTAAATATAGATATAAAATTAAGAAAAAGGGTTTCAAAGATAATGATTCTCAGACTTATGTTTCCAATCCATATACTTTTGCTTTCTCTTTGGTGGATTTTTTTAATCATTTTAGAATTGTAGGCCATTGGCAAGGGAAAGTGTAAACTATAACATTCATTTATAAATTAAAATTGTCTATGATTTATATAAAAAAGTAAAATAGCATAAAGTCATTGAGTGGAGAAAAAAATTAAAAGGAAATAAGTAGTTTAGACTATAAAGTTTTTACATTAGTTGTTTATTATTAATAGTATGATACTAATAATGATTTATGTTCTTTAAGATGAACATAATCATTATTATTTTAATGATCACAATAAAGTAGTTTGATATTAATTCTAAAATAAAGCATAACTTTTAATATATTTTTAACATGCACTATTAATCAAAAGTTTATTAAAAATTGAAAATTCACAACATTTCTAATAGGAAATAAATTATACAAATTATATTTAAATTTGAAATATTATTAAGAAGACATAAATATAAGATTACAAGCATGAAGTCATTCATTAGAGATAGAACTAATGAGATATAAGATAAAGAATTTTTGAAATTATAGGAAAATAAATGAAATGTGAGGAAGAGTAAGAACACAATCAATCTTTGATATTTATTTGAGGGAGAATACGACACAAAAATAAATAAATAAGTAGTTTTACATAAATTTAAAATATAAAAAAAAGTAAAATGCACATACAAAATAAATTTTCACTTATATATAAAAACTTTTTCTTGAATGTTTTAAGCTTGATGTTTATCAAGTCATCGTTTCTTGTTCCATGATTAATCATCCTACTTTTTACTTTACTCTCGTGTTAGGTCATTTTGATGATGGAAAACCCTTCCTTTGAATACGTTATTGAAAGGGACACACAGAGACAGCCACTGTCTTGAATTTTGAAAGAAAAAGGATATTTTATTTCATTTAAAACAAAATATTCAATTCATAAAAACTAATAAACAAGCATGTTATAATTTGAATACTACACGAGTCTTTAAAATTTCATTTTATTACTCATAAAAGTTATCATACTTATTAAAATCCTCAACAAATACAAGTTAGAAACATTAAATCAAACCAATATATTTATAACCCAAAAGAAATTGAGACTCACTTTTCACACTTAGTCTATTGGAATAAATTGAATTAAAGGATTAATTTTTTGACTTCTAATTTTAAGTAATAATTTCAAGGCACATGTTCTAATGAACCCAAATTTATAAGGAAAAAGAAAAACTTATAATATTGTAAGATAATGATACTTTGACAACATTTTAACACTGTCTATGTGTCATTCTGGGATTGATCCAAAATTATTCCACAATCAATAATAATAATAATCATAAACACCAAATAGACCAATCACAGAATGACACATAAACAGTGCTAAAATGTTGTCAAAGTATCATTATCCAATATTGTATTGGGTGTCCTTAAATAGAAAGTTTGTATTAAACTAAAGAAACATCTAGCCAGCCATACAACGTAATATGGGCAAATTGAATAGTGTGATGTGTTTTACCTGCTCCACTATTTCTTGCTTCAATTATAATATTATTCCACCACATTCATCTTCTCCAACATAATCTTTGTCTGCCTCCTCGCAAAATATACTTCATTCTCTCTAATGCAATTAATTAAAACAATGTTTTTCAATTATTAACACCATGCTTTTAATATATAGGAACATAAAAAGCCATCAAACCACTCCCTTAGTTTAAACTATAATAAACAAGTCCACCTCAATCATATTTTAAGGAACAAATAAAATTATTATTTTTAATATATATTATTCCAACTTTCATTATTAAATGATACGAGATTATTAAATATCAAGGTTAAACAAATGAAGATTTATGTTTAAAATTTCATTTTCATATATATATATATATATATATATATATATATATATTTTGTCACTTAAATAATGATAAAATAATTATTTTAGTTTTAAAAGATAACATTTATTAAAAATAAAATTTTAAAAATACACATACCAAAAGATAAATAGTATAAATATTACATGTAAGGAAATAACTAAAATAAGTAAAATATTAATATTATATGTGATACGCATGGTTAAAAAAAGAAACCTAACTCACAAAGTACATAATAGTATGTTTTAAAAAATATTAATATTATATAAATATATTTAAACTTTTTCATTTGTCTTATAAAATGCTCTGTTTGGTCATAACGGATTGAACATAAGATAATCCATATATTTTCTGTTTGAATCCATGGATCTTCTTGATTTTCCCCTTTAATGCGGAAATGCTTGGTGTAACAAATAGGATAATATAATATAATATGGAGGGATAAATTCTGAAACCGATGATCCAATTTTCTAAAAACAAGGACCAGCTTTCCGAGGAACCCGTGTTGGATGTGGCGTTCTGGTCAACTCTGATAAATCAATCAAACTGAAAAAACGCAGAGGCATTTGATTTGTTTGGCAGTGGCAAAGGTTTTGTGTTGTGTTTTTTGTGTTGTGTTCTTTTGAGTTGATAAGCATCGACAACATCGAAAACGATGTCGTGCGAGGATGTGTTCATTGGCGCCATCGACCAAGGTACGACCAGCAGCAGGTTCATAATCTACGACGGATCGAGTAAAGCCATCGGAATCCACCACGTGGAGTTCACGCAGTTCTACCCGCAACCCGGGTGGGTGGAGCATGACCCGATGGAGATCTTGGAGAGCGTGAAGGTGTGCGTGGCCAAAGCAGTCGACAAGGCCACCGCCGATGGCTTCAACGTCGACAAGGGACTCAAGGCCATCGGTCTCACCAATCAGAGAGAAACCGCTCTCGTCTGGAGCAAATCCACCGGTCTCCCTTTCTACAACGCCATCGTTTGGATGGATGGTCGTACTTCTTCCATTTGCAGGTCCTCTTTTCTTATTCTCTGTATAAAACTATGATTCGCTTTCTAAATTTTTCCCTCATAATTTCATGTGATTCTGGATCCGTCTGTTGGGAATATGCACTGTTCGAAATTCATAACTAATTTTTCAAAAGGGGAACCAAACATGGGAGTGTCTGTTTGTATAACTATCAAGATCATTTCATTCGAAAATCACTGTATTTATCTCAAATTATGTTTTATGTGATCAAACATGAATTGAAACAGAAACGCTCGTGTATAGTATACTTTTATGTAGTACTCAAGAATCTGAAATCATTTACTGATAATTCTGTGGGGGTAGTTTTTCATCATTTGTATATAACTGTGTATATGTATGTCTGTCCAACTTATGGTTGGTGTTTGGAGTTGGCCACTCTTTCTTTCTTGGGCTGTCGTTTTGTGTTTTGTTAGAACTGTTAATCATGTTCATGGATTAGATGCTGATTTTATTTAAACAGGAGACTGGAAAATGAGTTATCTGGCGGTAGAACCCATTTTGTGGAGAAGTGTGGCTTGCCTATTAGCACATACTTCAGTGCAGTGAAATTACTGTGGCTGATAGAAAATGTGAGTGCCGTGAAGGAGGCTATAGAGAAAAAGGATGCGCTGTTTGGAACTATAGATACTTGGTTGATATGGAATTTAACTGGTGGCGTAAAGGGGGGATTGCATGTTACCGATGTTTCTAACGCATCCCGTACAATGTTCATGAATCTAAGAACCCTGCAGTGGGACGAAACTATATTGGAAACTCTTAAAATTCCTGCTGAAATTTTGCCTAAAATTGTTAGTAATTGTGAAGTTATAGGAGATATTGCGGCTGGATGGCCAATTACTGGTATCCCTATTGCTGGATGTTTAGGGGATCAGCATGCTGCCATGTTAGGACAATCATGCCGTAAGGGGGAGGCTAAAAGCACTTATGGCACAGGTGCTTTTATATTACTGAATACTGGTGAAGGGATAGTTAAATCAAAACACGGTCTTCTAACCACATTAGCCTACAAGCTTGGCCCAAATGCTCCAACCAATTATGCATTGGAAGGATCAGTCGCTATTGCTGGAGCTGCAGTGCAATGGCTTAGAGACGGTCTTGGCCTCATTTCCTCTGCTTCGGAGATAGAGGAGCTGGCATTACAGGTTGATTCCACTGGTGGGATTTACTTTGTTCCTGCTTTTAGTGGATTGTTTGCTCCATGGTGGCGTGATGATGCTCGTGGTGTTATTGTTGGAATGACAAGGATCACAAACAAAGCCCACATTGCTCGAGCCGTGCTTGAGAGCATGTGTTTCCAAGTGAAAGATGTCTTGGATTCAATGNAGTAGGTCAATGATTATCACTATGAAGAAATAATGCATGGCCAGCTTGGTGAAGATGATTGTAAATATAGATATAAAATTAAGAAAAAGGGTTTCAAAGATAATGATTCTCAGACTTATGTTTCCAATCCATATACTTTTGCTTTCTCTTTGGTGGATTTTTTTAATCATTTTAGAATTGTAGGCCATTGGCAAGGGAAAGTGTAAACTATAACATTCATTTATAAATTAAAATTGTCTATGATTTATATAAAAAAGTAAAATAGCATAAAGTCATTGAGTGGAGAAAAAAATTAAAAGGAAATAAGTAGTTTAGACTATAAAGTTTTTACATTAGTTGTTTATTATTAATAGTATGATACTAATAATGATTTATGTTCTTTAAGATGAACATAATCATTATTATTTTAATGATCACAATAAAGTAGTTTGATATTAATTCTAAAATAAAGCATAACTTTTAATATATTTTTAACATGCACTATTAATCAAAAGTTTATTAAAAATTGAAAATTCACAACATTTCTAATAGGAAATAAATTATACAAATTATATTTAAATTTAAAAAAATAATAAAAAAAAAAAAAAAAAAAAATAAAAAAAAAAAAAAAATAAATAAAAAAAAAAAAAAAAAAAAAAAAAAAAAAAAAATTTTAAAAATAAAAGAAAAAAAAAAAAAAAAAAAGAAAAAAAAAAAAAAAAAAAAAAATTAAAAATTAATTAAAGGAAAAAAAAAAAAAAAAAAAAAAAAAAAAAAAATTTAAAAAAAATTAAAAAAAAAAAAAAAAGTAAAATGCACATACAAAATAAATTTTCACTTATATATAAAAACTTTTTCTTGAATGTTTTAAGCTTGATGTTTATCAAGTCATCGTTTCTTGTTCCATGATTAATCATCCTACTTTTTACTTTACTCTCGTGTTAGGTCATTTTGATGATGGAAAACCCTTCCTTTGAATACGTTATTGAAAGGGACACACAGAGACAGCCACTGTCTTGAATTTTGAAAGAAAAAGGATATTTTATTTCATTTAAAACAAAATATTCAATTCATAAAAACTAATAAACAAGCATGTTATAATTTGAATACTACACGAGTCTTTAAAATTTCATTTTATTACTCATAAAAGTTATCATACTTATTAAAATCCTCAACAAATACAAGTTAGAAACATTAAATCAAACCAATATATTTATAACCCAAAAGAAATTGAGACTCACTTTTCACACTTAGTCTATTGGAATAAATTGAATTAAAGGATTAATTTTTTGACTTCTAATTTTAAGTAATAATTTCAAGGCACATGTTCTAATGAACCCAAATTTATAAGGAAAAAGAAAAACTTATAATATTGTAAGATAATGATACTTTGACAACATTTTAACACTGTCTATGTGTCATTCTGGGATTGATCCAAAATTATTCCACAATCAATAATAATAATAATCATAAACACCAAATAGACCAATCACAGAATGACACATAAACAGTGCTAAAATGTTGTCAAAGTATCATTATCCAATATTGTATTGGGTGTCCTTAAATAGAAAGTTTGTATTAAACTAAAGAAACATCTAGCCAGCCATACAACGTAATATGGGCAAATTGAATAGTGTGATGTGTTTTACCTGCTCCACTATTTCTTGCTTCAATTATAATATTATTCCACCACATTCATCTTCTCCAACATAATCTTTGTCTGCCTCCTCACAAAATATACTTCATTCTCTCTAATGCAATTAATTAAAACAATGTTTTTCAATTATTAACACCATGCTTTTAATATATAGGAACATAAAAAGCCATCAAACCACTCCCTTAGTTTAAACTATAATAAACAAGTCCACCTCAATCATATTTTAAGGAACAAATAAAATTATTATTTTTAATATATATTATTCCAACTTTCATTATTAAATGATACGAGATTATTAAATATCAAGGTTAAACAAATGAAGATTTATGTTTAAAATTTCATTTTCATATATATATATATATATATATATATATATATATATTTTGTCACTTAAATAATGATAAAATAATTATTTTAGTTTTAAAAGATAACATTTATTAAAAATAAAATTTTAAAAATACACATACCAAAAGATAAATAGTATAAATATTACATGTAAGGAAATAACTAAAATAAGTAAAATATTAATATTATATGTGATACGCATGGTTAAAAAAAGAAACCTAACTCACAAAGTACATAATAGTATGTTTTAAAAAATATTAATATTATATAAATATATTTAAACTTTTTCATTTGTCTTATAAAATGCTCTGTTTGGTCATAACGGATTGAACATAAGATAATCCATATATTTTCTGTTTGAATCCATGGATCTTCTTGATTTTCCCCTTTAATGCGGAAATGCTTGGTGTAACAAATAGGATAATATAATATAATATGGAGGGATAAATTCTGAAACCGATGATCCAATTTTCTAAAAACAAGGACCAGCTTTCCGAGGAACCCGTGTTGGATGTGGCGTTCTGGTCAACTCTGATAAATCAATCAAACTGAAAAAACGCAGAGGCATTTGATTTGTTTGGCAGTGGCAAAGGTTTTGTGTTGTGTTTTTTGTGTTGTGTTCTTTTGAGTTGATAAGCATCGACAACATCGAAAACGATGTCGTGCGAGGATGTGTTCATTGGCGCCATCGACCAAGGTACGACCAGCAGCAGGTTCATAATCTACGACGGATCGAGTAAAGCCATCGGAATCCACCACGTGGAGTTCACGCAGTTCTACCCGCAACCCGGGTGGGTGGAGCATGACCCGATGGAGATCTTGGAGAGCGTGAAGGTGTGCGTGGCCAAAGCAGTCGACAAGGCCACCGCCGATGGCTTCAACGTCGACAAGGGACTCAAGGCCATCGGTCTCACCAATCAGAGAGAAACCGCTCTCGTCTGGAGCAAATCCACCGGTCTCCCTTTCTACAACGCCATCGTTTGGATGGATGGTCGTACTTCTTCCATTTGCAGGTCCTCTTTTCTTATTCTCTGTATAAAACTATGATTCGCTTTCTAAATTTTTCCCTCATAATTTCATGTGATTCTGGATCCGTCTGTTGGGAATATGCACTGTTCGAAATTCATAACTAATTTTTCAAAAGGGGAACCAAACATGGGAGTGTCTGTTTGTATAACTATCAAGATCATTTCATTCGAAAATCACTGTATTTATCTCAAATTATGTTTTATGTGATCAAACATGAATTGAAACAGAAACGCTCGTGTATAGTATACTTTTATGTAGTACTCAAGAATCTGAAATCATTTACTGATAATTCTGTGGGGGTAGTTTTTCATCATTTGTATATAACTGTGTATATGTATGTCTGTCCAACTTATGGTTGGTGTTTGGAGTTGGCCACTCTTTCTTTCTTGGGCTGTCGTTTTGTGTTTTGTTAGAACTGTTAATCATGTTCATGGATTAGATGCTGATTTTATTTAAACAGGAGACTGGAAAATGAGTTATCTGGCGGTAGAACCCATTTTGTGGAGAAGTGTGGCTTGCCTATTAGCACATACTTCAGTGCAGTGAAATTACTGTGGCTGATAGAAAATGTGAGTGCCGTGAAGGAGGCTATAGAGAAAAAGGATGCGCTGTTTGGAACTATAGATACTTGGTTGATATGGAATTTAACTGGTGGCGTAAAGGGGGGATTGCATGTTACCGATGTTTCTAACGCATCCCGTACAATGTTCATGAATCTAAGAACCCTGCAGTGGGACGAAACTATATTGGAAACTCTTAAAATTCCTGCTGAAATTTTGCCTAAAATTGTTAGTAATTGTGAAGTTATAGGAGATATTGCGGCTGGATGGCCAATTACTGGTATCCCTATTGCTGGATGTTTAGGGGATCAGCATGCTGCCATGTTAGGACAATCATGCCGTAAGGGGGAGGCTAAAAGCACTTATGGCACAGGTGCTTTTATATTACTGAATACTGGTGAAGGGATAGTTAAATCAAAACACGGTCTTCTAACCACATTAGCCTACAAGCTTGGCCCAAATGCTCCAACCAATTATGCATTGGAAGGATCAGTCGCTATTGCTGGAGCTGCAGTGCAATGGCTTAGAGACGGTCTTGGCCTCATTTCCTCTGCTTCGGAGATAGAGGAGCTGGCATTACAGGTTGATTCCACTGGTGGGATTTACTTTGTTCCTGCTTTTAGTGGATTGTTTGCTCCATGGTGGCGTGATGATGCTCGTGGTGTTATTGTTGGAATGACAAGGATCACAAACAAAGCCCACATTGCTCGAGCCGTGCTTGAGAGCATGTGTTTCCAAGTGAAAGATGTCTTGGATTCAATGCACAAAGATTCAACACAAGATTCCAAAGAGGAATCCTTGCTTAGAGTGGATGGTGGTGCAACTGTTAACAACCTCTTGATGCAGACTCAGGTTTGTGCTTTTCTTTCATCTAGTTCCATGTTTCAAATTTTGCTAACTGTCGTGTTACTTCTGTCATAACAATAACATTATATGATGTTTGGTTTGTAATGCTTCTTTAGTGTTTATAGTTACTGAAGTATTGGTGTTCATTGGTTGTTGCAAATGCTTGTTACCTTTTACATAACTGATAGTTGTTTTGTTAATGATGTTTGTTCTACAGGCAGATTTGTTGGGAAGTTCAGTGGTTAGACCTGTTGACATAGAGACCACAGCACTTGGAGCAGCCTATGCTGCAGGGTTGGCTATTGGGGTTTGGAAAGAAGATCATATTTTCAATTCCCAGGAAAAGATGAAGAATGCTAAAGTTTTCCGTCCCATAATGTCTGAGGAAGTAAGGAAAAAGAAATTTGAATCTTGGTGCAAAGCTGTTAGTAAAACTTTTGACTTAGCTGATCTTGCTCTTTGATTGTCTTTTTACCATTTATCTTTTTAAATGTCCTTCACTTCTGCTTATAAGTTGAAGGGAGCAATTATGTTAATTATCAAATAAATTTTACATTACTTTTCTATGTTGTTCTTGTATTTTGGAGAA